TAGATCCATCCATATCTCGAACAGAGTGTTCTTCAGCTTCTTTATCCCAACCAAAGGGTTCGTCTTCAATCCAATCTTCAAATTTTCCAACGACGTCTTTAAGAAGCATAGGTTGAGGCATGGTCATTTCATGATAGGACATGGCATACATGTTTAATCCAATCAATAATTGATGTCTATTCTCATCATTCGTCAATGCTTCAATATTGTCAATAACCCAATCGATTGGAGAGGAAGGTCCTCCTGATCTATTATCATTCCCATGACAATAATTAAACAATAATCAATTTCTCTCTTTTTCTTTTTTAAAATATATATAATAACACATGATTTCACCAAATAAATGAGGATAAACAGTTACGAGAGAGAAAGAGATAGAATATATATATATATATATATATATACTTACGGAAGATGGCTAGAATAGTCATATGTCATGATACTAAATCGATCAATAAGCTTTGCTAATCCAGCAAAGATTTCTGCGCTCAGGTATTTTTTCTGTTCCTCGGATCGAATGGGGGGTAAGACCAAAATAAATTGTTTGTCATCTTCATGAAGTACCATTGATAATTGCTGAATGAAAACTGGGAAAAAGGAAGGATAGCCACATTCAAGTACAATACCGTCAAAATCATACTTGCTGATATATAGTCGTATTTTTAACAACCAACAAATGGAGAATTCATCAAGTCAATAAAATAACACTTCAATACGATCAAATAGAATGATAGGAAGACGGATACCTGACTTGTTCCATAATTTTTTCAACTACTTTTGGAACTTCCTCCATAGCATTTGTGACAAAAAATTGATAGTGTTGGATTTCCCAGTTACGAAATTGGAAACGAGGTACCACTTTACCTCCATGTTCACCTCCTACTTCTTTTACCCACTAAAAATGGTTTACATTTATATCTATTAATAGCTTCCCCGTAATAATAAAAGAAATAGGTTGCAGCTTACATTTTCATCCACATCATGTTCACCAATCACTTTATATCCAGATGGCTCAATATAATACCAGACAGGTGACACACTAAAGCATGAATATATGTTTACGCGTTAAATTTGCATAAAACCATTCATGACTGCTGTGAATTAATATCTATTATACTCACAAGTCGAATTTGCCTTTGAATTCTTTGACGATATCATAACCTATATATATGGTAAAAAAAAGTCAGGAACAAACAAAAAAGTTGTCTGTATAATTAAATAATAAAACAACAACATACCACGGTTATTCCAGGGCGTGACATAAGCTAAAGTATCACCTCCTTTGAACGTTTTCTCATGTGCCATGTTGATATCGATTTGGTCATGTTCACGAAGTACTGATTCAGACTATTTTTATTTATTAATATTTGATGCAAAAAGTCATTAACCTCAAATAGCAATTTTAACAACCAGAATATAAAATAGCTCATTTCAAACTGGAACTTACAGTCTCCACTTGATCTTTTAACCCAAATGAAACTTGTTGATGAGCATCATGAGCTGTTACTAAATATAAAAACCAGAATGCTACCAGCAACATTGCATAATATTTGGACATGTTGCAAAAGTTAAAAAAAAAAATAAGCAGAGTCCCCCAAGGAAAAATTCTGTTTCTGAGATTTCATGAGAAGTAGCAAGCAAGTCAAAAACACAGGAAATAACAAGAGAAAAATGAAATATTTAAGGTTGAAGATGTGTGAACTGTCTACCAAAGTTTACACTTTGATATGTGGTAAAGATAGAGTCACCACGGATTGGTGCTTCTTGGACAGTGACAGTATACTGCACATGTCTGATATTTTTTATAACATCACGGTCCTTGATTAGCATTTGACCCAACACTCCATTGTTTTGTCTGTCAGATTCCTTTGTCCACTCAAGATAAAAAGGATAGGGTAATTGCGAAAGGCATTTACAAGCGAAAGTGTTCCTTGTGGACCTTGGTAAGGCGGGGGAGTGGTGGATACAGAACCATTTTCTGGATATACATCTTCGACCCATTCTTGGAGATTCAGATACGTACCCTTTCGAAGTGCCATATTCTCAAAATTTGTCTTCCACCAGCTTAGATCAAGAACCTATTTCTTTTGAAAATGTCTTGACCCACTACATTGGCGTTGTTGAAATATGGAAACCCTTGATTGTCAGTAATGCCAATGCCATCAGGTAAGAAATGTAATTGACAAATGGATCTTACCACCCCCCCCCGGTACAGCCATAATAGCGCTTGATACTCGAGTTTGAGTAAACACTTGCTGTTTCTCAAGATTAATCCAGCAAAGCTGAATAACACCATTAACATGTATATTAACTACACTACCCTCCATGGTTTCCAGAAAAGTGAATTTGTCGTCGTTGCAGCTTAGAGACATGTTGTTGTCACACTTTGAAGTTACTGACGGCTGTTCTCCACATAGCATTTATTTGGTTCATGTGCTCAACACCATTAGGTTCTCCTATGACAATATCATTTTGATCTATTGCTTCTCTTGCTATGCGCCTGTGTGATAATGCCCATGCTGTGTTCACCGACCCTTTGAGCTCGTCTTGCGTATCCCCACATGTTTTGTAAATACACCTTTAGTTGATTTAATCCATTGATTGCTGCAATCGTTAATTGTTGTTGGGTGAATTTAGACTAAGTGTTTGAATAATATTCTGATAGAAAGCATTACAATCATTAATACCATCGTTGACAAAAGTATTCATGGCAGCATCTACGACGTATATTGTCACCATCCACTCACGTTAAATCTAACAGACAACGTAGCTGAACTGGTTGATTTCCATCCTTGTTACTACCAATATCGAAGTGATGAGGTATAACAATTATTAGTGTTCCAGAAGGAGGATGATCAAGTGTAGGATCATAAAGTCGGGCTTGGTCAACAAATGGTTGGGGACATGGTATATCAAGGTCGTCAATAAAATGTTCCCGTAAAACCCCAGGCTTCAGATAGAAGTTTGCAAGAGCACAGGAAGAAATCACTTGGGAAGGTGTAACAATACAATTGGTCGTGTATTCTGTAGATAACGTCGGACATGCTGAGTGTGGTTCCATAGAAATAATAAGAACGGGGAGCATTTAAGAAAGATACTATCCCTGATCTTCTATTAAGTTTTACCCATGATCGGATTATGATGTACCCAAAATTAATGAAAATCCTTTGAGACACATTATCGATGATATACTCCACCAGTTGAATACTACGTATAAGAAATTGTATTATATAAATAGACCAAGATGTATACAGAATAGAATGGAATTTTATTTTTGAATTTTGAACTTGACAAAAATAAATCATATTTCAAAAGATTTCTCGTTTTTATTATTTTTATTTAATTGATCTAACTTCTACTCGACTTACAACACCCTGAGTTGCCAAATGGAAACTACGACGGGGTTTATATCAAGGATATAGATCAATGAATGGGAATGGACTATCAAAAAAAATTGGAACTAAAAAATATGCAAAACACCCTTCGATATGAAATAAACAAATATACATTTTGCAATTCCTAATGGCTGTAAACTTTCGCTTTATTTTAGGAAAAAACCAAATCTTAACCCACGAGCACGATGCTGGGCTCTGTAAAAGTTATACAAGAGCAGCGCTCCATTAATTCTTTTCCTTTTCATTCGCTTTCTCTTTATCTTTTAGTACACTATTCTGAATACTCTGTATCAATATCACTGTAGAAAAAAGAATTCTCAGGTATGTTCTTAAAAACACGAATTTAGGTAAACTCCCAGCTAAGCTCAGGTCCAATTTCGCAAGGGTACATAATATGAGAAAAAAACAAAGATTCGTGTTTTTTGGTTAGGAGTTCGAGAATTATTTTCTACAGTGATATATCTTTCCGTTTCTTATCCATACCACAGTACCTAAAGACAAACACTATTAAACAGTAGCATAACCTCATGAATAATTGATACAATATAGTAGAAGAAGAAACATTTAATAAATAATACAAGAACATACCATTCAGAATTAAAAACAGGGTACAAGCAACATTAGTAGATAGTAAAGGAGTGTATTGAGAACAATAATATACCTGTTGTTTACCAGATAGTGAGCGGTCAAAGGGTAGAAAATTAATATCATACACGCGTGTTTTAAATAATAAAAGAGCATGATGCTGGTAATAGATGGTCTGTCCATATAATAAGGCAGCATAAGGAAAGTACTATAAGGAACTTCAGGCATTATCAGACAATAACAGGATAAAACCGTTTATTATCCATTAATCGGTGCTACACTAATAAAATTAACATACATTTAGAACGAAGTAGGGCAAGAATATCAGGCAAGATATAATTAAAGGACCAGTCATCTGTGTCGTCCATATTTTTATTAGGCAAATGTTTCTTACCTGTTATCTAATGTATAAAGTTATCTGATTAATATGCGTTCAATGTATGATACTTTCCGATAGTACAGATTTATTAATAATAAACAAAAGCAAAAAGTAAAGATTAGTTATATAACACGTACTATTTCTTGTTGATTACTCAACATAATCTACTATATGATTGTCTTTAATATGGTTTATATTATTACTGTTCATATATAGTAAAATTAAAATTTTCATATTTTCACCGTTCTGTAACTACTATACTAATACTTACCTCGAATTATTAGTGATTTATAATTACGTTTACGATTACTACTACATATTACAAAAATATTAACAAGTCAGGACAAATGATTATATCAAGAAGTGATTAGAAAATAATAACTAACAAATATCATCATCATTACCTATAAAACGCTATGATTTTTTCTCATTATGATGCTATTATCACCGTTGTACTATTTATTAATAACGTTGAACAATGAGGAATGAGGAGGAGGATGCAGTTTTATGTCTTTTAGAGAAAAATAATAAGCTATTAGTAGTATAACAATTAAAAAATTTATGGTAGTACAAAGAATTTTCAAAAAAAATAAAAAAGGTAATTTCAACTCCTTATTAGAAGGAGTTGATTTACTAATGAGAGCTCTCATCCGGGATCGAACCGGAGACCTTTTGCGTGTAAAGCAAACGCGATAACCTCTACGCCATGGGAGCACTTGTTGCTATTGTTTGTATTTAAGATGTTAAGAGGAAGAAGCATTCCAATAAAAAAAATAAATTTTTATTTAGCACATTTATATCTAATTCTATATATTACTAATTGATATATAATAACATCAGTATCAATAGATAGAGAAAAATCAGGGCTGCTTAACAGTACTAATTGTATTATATAAAATTAGAAACTTAAAAAGTTATTAATTTTTAATAGTATTTTTTTTAATAATTATTTAATTCTTTTATTTTTATTATAAAAAAGAGTAGCTAGTTTAGAACCATACTAATTAGTATATAATAAAATTAATATCAATAAATAGAAAAAAATTAGGGCTATTTAATAGTATAAATTGTGTTATATAGAGCTAAAAACTCTAAAAGGTATTAGTTTTTAAAGGTATATTTTTAAATAATTTTATATATACCTTATCTTATTATAATACTATACTTTTTTTTATACTATACTATTTATCTTTATTTTAAAATTCTTATACTTTTTTAGTATATAGGTTTTTTCATAAGAAGTTGACACGACTATAGTATTTTTATAATAATAAATATTATGAAAAATATAAAAGGTATAACAAATAGAAAATAAAAATAATATAAGAATATATTGAGACTATTATATAGATTTATTTCAATAAAAGTAATGATGATCTAGCTGTTATATCCAACATATAATGGCTTCATAATAAATAATAATTCTCCATTATTATTATTATTATTATTATTACTGTCATTCACCCTATATCTCACTTGTGTAGTGATTCTATTTAGATAATTACTTATATTATATATAGTATTATACCATCCTCTTTTATATATTGTTAATTATGCTAGATCATGCAATCCTTCTAATAATATCATTCATGGTCTACTTAAATATACTGTCCTCATAACATGCAATCCAAATGATGCAATCTATATTCTAATATTATACCATAATGCACAAGTTGTGATAGTCCATCTATAATGAGCACTTTCTTATAAATAGAGAGATTATTTTTTATCTTAATAAACTGGAGTTCATTATTTTCAGGTCTTGTTGACTTATCTCGTCTCCTTTTATTCTTTTTATTGATTGATTTCTCTCTGATACAACACCAACTATCTAATAAAATTGAGGTCCTTTTATACTTTTCGATGAAGTGTTTATTTCTAATTATTTATCTATTGTTAGGTATATGTTTATATGAGTCCATAGAGATAAGGATTGATATTTGTTATTGTTAATTTATGCCTTATACTAAGAAGGCATTTATTTATTTCTTATTTTCTTATTATTAAACATTATACCTTATTTGGTATACCATTCTAATTCATACCATTTCATAATAATAGTGTTATTCTATTTTATTTGTTATTTATTCTTTTCTTCCTTATTTAAATTTAGATATACCTATCTAGTGTAACCCTTAATTTTAAGATAGGACTTAGGTGGATTACAGGTAATAGATAGTTTAATATAGTGAGCACCAGTAGTAATTAACGTATACTACAACGATATATTTAATAAAATGGTCTTCAATTATTGTAGAAATTAGAAGACTTGTATTGAATTGATTAGATCAAGTGGTTAGATAAAATAAGGCTTTTTAATAAGCAATTGGATGGATATGAATTGTATCAAGAATATAAAACAAATATAATTATTCAATATTTGAGTGATCGAGGGATAAGAATGTTAATTTATTCTTTTAGTGAATTGTTCGATAATTATTTCAGTTCAAAAATCCTGGCCTTTTATACTTTTTCCAAAGCAGCGCAGCAACCAATTATTCTTGGCAGAAGACAACTTGGTGAGGAATAATATCCAATCGTATTGCATATATGAATGAGACAGAAGGTTATTGGTTGGCCAAGATCCTTGGCTGCATTACCAAGATGCTAAGATCCTTGGTAATTGAGAATAATGTTGAAAGTGATGGAATAAACAAGAAGGTCGAGTAGGACCAAGAAGTAACATCATTTCACAATTAAAAATCTCAATATTGGATATCAAGGTCAGATTCAGGAATGATATGCAGGTTACACAATTATGGACGGATGTATGATCAATGAGCTGGTTGTGCGAGTGGAAAAAAGGGCCTTTGGCTTTATAGATTTTACTGCTATTTCTAATACAAAATAATGATAAAAATGAGAAGGCACTAATGATAAAAATAAAAGGTACTGATGATAATAATAATAATATAACTGATATAATAAATAATAATAATAAGAATAATAATAATATAGGAAAGATATAAAAAATAAAATAATTGAAATAAAAATATATAAAAAGAAAGAGGAGAGTGGTAATCATTGAGGATTACACTAGTATATTCTTTTTCTATGGACATAACAAATATGTTTTTTGAAATTATAGTAGTAGTTTTTTTTTTTATATAAAATACTTTTAATTTTTATACTAAACATTTTCAATTTCTATTACTGAACTTTTTTATTTTTATATTAATATTTTTAATTTTTGTACTAATGTTTTTTATTTTCATGCATGCTTATGTTTTTAATTTTCATAGCAATATTTTTATTTTATTTTATACTTCAACATTTTTTATTTTCATGCTTAACAATTTTTATATTATTTAGTGCCTAATGTTTTTAATATTTATACTATAGTTTTTAATATTTAAGCTAAAGATTTTTAATAATGGTACTAGATATTATATAATCTACTAGAGAGTGCTTCTAAATAATCTATACATAATAAAATATAATTTATTATAAAAAATAATAATTTTTGTAGCAAAAGTAAGTATAATATTCTCTATTACAAATAAACCTTAGTATAATAATTATATTTAAATAAATATAGTAACCTTAATATCAAAGAACATCGGATCTATATATCTATCATAATATATTGGTACCTTCTCCTTATATAAAGAATAATCTAATAGTAAAATTTTATACCTATATATATAAATTTTATATCTCAAATATAGACCCATAAAAATTAAGGGGATTATAAAGATCAATATCTATGAATATACATTAACCTATTGAACCAAGGGTATAGAATGATTTTATATAAATAGTAGTTTATTTTATGATATATAGAGGCATCTACATTATTATTGTCATATCCTGACACTATACTCTATAATAAATACTGATATTACACAAAAGACACAGCCTGAGCACATATACAAATAAGGAAACTTTAATAATCCTTGTATAAAAAAGGAAATTAGTATAATCGCATAATGATGTACTACCTTCATATAACTCTCTAAAAAGAAAACATCAAAGAAGATGTCAAAGATAAAAGGCGCAGCCTTAGACCTATCCTTATAGCTACCCTCATAAATGATAATATTTATCATATCCCAAAGGTCCCGATTCATCCATCCATAATATAGAATAGTATAAAATAAGTAACTAAGCCTACATCTTTCATAGAATAGAAAAAGTATAAATAAGCCATTGTAAACGTAATTGTAGAAAAGTAATTCAACTTTTATTCAAATCTTTCTTTCCATTAAAAAACCTATAAAAAAGTCTCAAAGGATTTATATTGTCTGTTTTATAAATAACACTACTTTTACTATAAAGATTATTGTATTTTTATTGTGAGTTTTATTTTATCATATGTGGATTATTTAGAAGTGCTCCATAGTGGATTATGTAATATCTAGTATCATTATTAAAAATCTTTATCTTGAATATTAAAAACTATAGTATGAATATTAAAAACATTGGGTACTAATATAAAAATTGTTGAGCGCAAAAATAAAAAACATTGAAGCATGTAAATAAAAAAATGTTGCTATGAAAATTAAAAACATTGAGCATAAAAATAAAAAAATTTAGGGGTATTAATCCAACATTTACAATCTAAAGTTTCATCACCATAACTAAACAGTACGGTTTTCCCTTTGCCTAGTAGAGTGGCCTCATACTTGCTAAGAAAAAAGCAGATCTATCCGATACAACACGTATGTAGATGGCCAAGATAGTATTCACATTGATGGATGGCTTCATGTCAGATAAAATGCAATACAACTTTCGCGCCATTTTACGCTAGTATCGATACAACATTGGTAAGACCAATAGAAAATGGTTTTTTAATCACGCAAGAGAATGAGGAAAAAGAGGAAAACTATCTATTCAAAAGAAAATACTAAACAAGAAAAGAATGGCGAAGACAAAGAACCATATGAGGCGGATACAGCCAGACGATCTATTTCATTTCTCTATCAGTATTATATGACTCTTTGGCAAGTTAGACAGCTGCAGCGAGACACGCTTAAATCGGTTGACTTCCAGACAAAGGCAGAATTTTAGAATCCATCATGTTCTATCGCCCACTCCATTGCGTCAATTTTATCAGTGTCATGAAGAGAGAATAAGAGATATGGCCAAAAGCAGAACCAAAAGTCTATAAATTCTTGGGGGCATTTGTACAGAATAAAGTTGATACTAATAAAAGCACAAAGAAACCAAAAAAATAACAAGGGACTTCAACAGCAAGAATACCCTGGAAATGAATGTTTTGGGTGATGTAGAACCGGATGACCCAGATAACAATGGATCTCCTGGTACAGACAATTCCGAGCTAGTTAGATATATATATCTAAATTAGCTGAAGCTGACAAGCAAGTGGGTGGATTGGAAGTCCAAATGGCTTATGCATTTTTCATTTTACTTAGTTTGTACCTTTATTTAACATGCATTATTTATCCTTATCCAGTTATATCATATGTCATATATACTTTTGAAGAATAAATATAATATAAATAGTTCTTTTTTTTTGATATATATATATAATCATTTTATAACTTTCCAGATTGAAAAATTGCCTTACACATCCACTATCACCGTTAATCTCCAAAATAACTATTGATAACTTGTTAATCACCAAACCGTTACTGTATTCCTAATCCAAATCCTATGTTCTATCATTTTTCAATTTTTTTTTGATATGATATGTTTCTACTTTTTATATAAGTTATATATATATTTTTTTACAATCAAATTTTTGATAATGT